GTTTTTTGAAATTCATTGCAGCGTAACGGTGGGTGGCTGAATAAGGAGTGTGTTGTCTTTTACTATCAGCGGTTTTAAGGTCAAGGGGGTCACTTGCACCTAATATGGTATATCATGGAGGTAATGGGTTTCACAGCACTAAGCTGATGTTTGTCCAAAGGGGTATTGTGAGGGTAACCAGCAGGCGGTCAGTTAACGATGAGGTTGCTCGAGCGGGCGTTTTATATGCAATCGGCTCTTTTAGTGTGAGACAACGTGAGCTCGTAACTTGCCAACAAAACGGCATGACTCAAATTTCGCTGATCAAGGCGTCGTTATTCAGAGAGCAAAAATTACCAAAGGGCAAGAAAACTGAGAAGAACCGGGTTGGTAAACGTTGGATCAGGTACATTTTTCTGCTTGGAGAACTGTGCAAGGAGATAAAGGTCGGCATATTATACATACAAGTAGAAAAATATAGTTATTCTACTCATAACTTCTAAACTTATTTTATCCGTGTAGGAAAAGCGGGACGTGCAGTGATTACGAAAGTATGAAGGATCTTAAGAGTTACTTGGTGGATGGCTATGGGGTTGAGGTCAAGTGTTTTGGTGATATACTATATTATGGCTCCGGATTGGCTTTAGTGGGCTGCATAAAGTAGTCCAGGGGCAGGCTGCGTTTTTAAATGTCCAGGGTGCGGTACACGGAGACTGGGCAATGACAAGTATAAATATAGTCATCCGTAATGTTCTCGGAGTGCTGGTACCTTAAGCTCATCCTAAAGCTCTCTTATCTCACTGGAAGCCTCGGAAAAACAGTTTCCAGTAATCCTGAATCAATTTTGAATTTACCATACTGCGACCATCCCGCAAGTTTCACACGCAATTGTATAGATTCAAACGCAAAGCCAGGCTATGTAGGTCAAACGAGATGAATTGTACCGATTAAGTGGCATCCGGCTGTGCTTCGCTTGCACAGACCACCATGAAAATTGGCATTGCGCATTTTATTTTCCCAGTATTCCGAATCACTGTTTTTTGTGGGTGTCATCTGCACAGACCGCCATGAAAATTGGTATTGCGTATTTTATTTCCCCAGTATTCCGATTCACAGTTTTTTGTGGGTGCGATAGTGCTACCGCACGGCCACAGTTTCCTGGCTTTGACGCAATACATGGCAACCACAGGTGCATGACAGAAACTTCCCAGAATTGATTCTGGCTCGTCTTCCCCTGACAAAAGTTTAGCCACACCTAAGTGGGATCTGAAGTATAATGGTCCTGAAATATCCTGAAAAGCCGGAGGGTTTATTGCGTTCGACCGTGTGTCGGGCACGGTAAAAGGCGGTTTAACTTTGAGCTGAGCTCTTATATTACTCCACAATTTTTCTCACAAAGGTCGGGGGATGCGCTCACGGAAAGGCGGGGCAGGGGTTACAAATGGAAACAGACAAAACGTGGGGTATTTTACATGTCAAACTGATGGACAATACACCACCAACTAGATTATCCACGTTGGCCTACCTGGTTCCCCCGTTCTTATACTCCACCAAACGCTCTGCTCTATTCTGTGGTGTTCCATTAGCCGCTGACACAAACCGCTTGTTCTCGCTCCTACCTCAAATGCCGGCTCTATTAACGTATAAGCTCAATGTCGTCCCTCAATTGCCACTATGGTCTTTCCCGACGGTCTGCGACAAAGAAGATGGGAATAAAGGTTATTATTGATTTGCGATCTCCTGCAGGATGCAATAGAGGCGGATATGGTCTGCTAGCCAGATAGCCTCTCCCATGGCCGTCAGAGCACACTGTTGGCCCAAACCCGTCACATCCACCCCCACGACGTGCACTAATTACCGCCGTCTAGTAAACGCAGTCCATCTTAAGCATGCTCACCAACAGCTGACCTCTTCGGATAACACTGTGTCTTTGCTACATAGTCAGTTCACCTGCTTCCATATGTCTTCAAGCCTCTTATACCCTCACCTACGCCAGAGACCCACCTTGCACCGTATTCTTCATCCTACATCTACCTTCATCAGTACTGACCATCACACTTGTGTGTCTCGCAGCACTGTGCCAAAGTACGTTCGCACTGACTTTCCAACCTCAAAAATGAACATACCAATTTTGCAAGATATAGATCACTCCTCCATTCATATCGTCTTCCTGACTATGCTCTGGCTCATGCCAGATAGCAGATTCCGAAATATCACGCTTCGGGTTACGGCGTCAATTGATTCGTCTTCCTCGGAGACCTATCCGGAAACACATCCATTTACCTCCACGAGAACGCTTAATTACCCACCAGTCTTTTTGCCACCTTAGTGAGTCACCTGCTGGGCGGACAAATATTCAAGCTTGTTTTTTATGGTATTCGCCAGCTAGCTTGCCCGGTCTCGTAAGTCACTAACGTCCATGAAACTGGCCCTAAGGATCTTAGAGACCTCTTCACTTCTTGCCGCGTCCTTTTGCTTCCATAAACTGCGTTCCAAGATACCGGCTTTATTTCGTGCACATTATCGTAGACGGAACTTCGAGATGAGTGTCCTATTTAACATTAACAGTTGAGCATTATACTCGCACCATTCTCATAGGTTCGGAAAATCTTAAAAGTTCCGTCTGTTCCCAAACCTTGCGTTCGGCCAATTGCCTCCCTTGCACTATAGGTTCGAAATTTACCGAAGCATCCCCGCTTGATATGGTGTACTTTTAGCCAGAAGGGTGGGCATCGGGGAACATACACTCAGACCCAATGCTAGCGAGACGACGGTTATTATTTTGTTCTGTGGATGTAGAACAGTTCTGCAATTGCACCCGATAAGCGGAAAAGCAGTCCATAATCTCATCCACAGTGCGCAGCCTATCCAAGGGTATGAAATACGTTGGACTTACTTCGGGGAAAAAACTATTATCGTGGTTACAAAACTCACTCTACGACACCTAATTCGACAACGTCGAGGTTTGCAGTTCACTTAGCCGACCCAGATTTATTGAGCATTCATTTGGAATTCACCCATTTAACTCTGCAGCCCACGACATCGTACGTCCGGTCAGGACAAAACGAACGAGTTACAATTTGGGCGTGCATTTTCCAAAGAGCCGCAGTGGTCGCCAACTGGATCGCGCATCACAAGCACTCAAACAACGCGACGATTCCTGTCTCATTCGCAACTTAAGCAGACAACACGCACACTACAAATTCCCATATATTTTAGCCCCCTATAAATTGCCTGGCAATGCCGTTTAGTTCAAGTTGCCGTGAACTCAAATGCCTTGCCACACAATTCACAACGCCTCTTAGGGGCGCGGTATCAGGTTTTTCGTAAGAAGGTTCGACCTTGCGCCTGGGAAGCGCTGCATTTCTCGCAAGAGCAACCTTCAGATGCATTGACACTTGTTCTGATAATGGTCAAGAAGATCACAGAAAATTGTCAAGAGAACATCTGGATCTATCACCTATGTCTGTCTGTTGATTTTTACAAACCCAGTCGGGAGTGCGAAGTGTGCCAATTAATGAATGCATCCAGAAGATTTGTCGTCTGAACCTGGGATAGATACGTGTGGTTTGCCATGTGGCTCGCCCGGTTCAAGATTTTTAATGTTTCCAGCAAGTTGCCCGATTCAGCGTTGGTTTGCTTGTTAGTTGTAACTTGAGTCTGAGTGTTCCCACTAGGGTTCTGGACGAAAACATCAAGCTCTTTGACTTTCATCCACGGTCCTTCACAAGCATGCAGCAAAGAAAAACGCACAGTTGGTATACCCAACGACTGAGCAGCAGGCCATTTCCGTCTGTCCAAGTTTGCACTTGCAAACCAAATGGATACTGACCGTCAGGTTCCGTAGAGATACTGGTTTGCGAATAAAACATTCTTGTACAAAAGCTCTGAGGCACTTGGCATGTGAGGCGAACAACGCGCGATCTCTTCCGACAAAATTACTCAGTGTAATGGCACATTCCTCAAAACAGAGTTGTTTCTGTAGGTTCCATCGGTACAAACGCTGGTTCTTCTGGTAAGTCATCCACTTGATTCATCTAAACAATGTTTTATCCAAGGTGTGGTCATAAAGATGCAGCTTTTTGGGAGCTTCGGGGGTGGAATAACGAAAAATTTTGCCACCAGAAATCGACATTATGCGGTGGGCCCATGACACGTCCATCGTAAGAACATAAAAATTGTCTAAGCTCTTCCCGTATTTTGGCAGACAGCTCATCACGTAGTAAGAAGAACAGGCCGGAAAAGGCCATCAGCACGGATAGCGGTTAAGACGTTGACAACAGTGATATCCATATTGGTTGCATCAGGAAGAGCTTTATCATGCAAAACAATCGGTTTTAAATTTTGAGTGCCAGTTGTAAATTCATCCATATCTGCAAGCCAAGCAAATCCAAAGTAACGGGTGACCATCTGCGATTCTTCTGTTTCAAAAATCCGTTTTGGCCCTTCTTCTACAGTGACTACAGTTGTTTCATCCTCAGAAGCTTTCATCAGGAAGATTGGGGAGGTAATCAATGCAGCAGCATCGGGTTTGAGGGGATAACACGTCAACCACAACAACACAGCCACTAACCCAACGCTTCGCACTACTGCACTCCCCAACAACGCACTGATGATGTCACCTCGATTGGTGATGAAACGTTTGCCATCTAAATGCCCTGCTCAGTGAACAAGCTAACGACAATCATAACACATTTTCTTCAGCAGTTGGAGGGCGGTTTAGAACAGGCTACACTAATGTCAGGGACGGTTTAGTGCCCGACGGAACTAATGGTCTGTAGAAGTGGCCGGAAAAGTTGGCAGACTCGGTAAGTTGCTGTATGAATCAGGGTTCCCCGGAAGTAATGTTCACATGTGTCATCGGCGATATGACTTCGCGGTCCTCCAAATGGTTGGATGCATGGGAAGCCAGCGACCGAATCGCACCGAGAGTGTTTGCTGGTACGGGTTGTTGAATGGAAGATGGATCAGTTATCAGTAGTCGCTTAGGGAGATCTGGAAGGAGAATTCTCCGTGCGGTCTCTTTGTGGTCGATTGCGGACATCTTTGAACTTTACGTTCTTGAATGTTAGCAATCGCTTTGCATCGCGCTCCTCTCCCCATTGCATTTGCACTGGGCAACGCATGGATGGTATCGACTTTGGCAGCTGTTCAAATGCATAGACTGTGTCATGCATGTTAAATGATCTCAGAAAAGCAGCTTTTGCACGTTCCACCGATATGTGATTGGGGGTAATGTGTATTGGGACTTGTTTATGGCATTCCATACAACGACTTTATAGCAGAGGCTAAACCAAATATAAACTCACAACTTCGCTACAGACTCCGTAACTCCTGCAAACTCTTGGTGTGTCCCCAACTCCTACGAACCTACGCCACTACTTCTTTATAGTTTATTACGCTCGCATCTGGAACA